ATAAGTTGACTTACTCAACCCTCATCCCCCAAAAGCAGCTGATGAGTCAGCAGTGAGTTGCGGGTGGCATACAGCACAGTGGTGGTGGGAAATAAAAGTGTCTGTTGCCAGAATAGAGAGGAATCAACAGGGACCAGGGGAAAGAACAAGAAGACAGAAAAGAGTGAAGGTGAAGTCAGGGTGAAGGGGGGAGAGGGATCAGAAGGAAGAAGTGGGACAACACACGGAGATAAGAGTGAGCTCTGACAGAGAGACAGGGCGGCTGGGTGAGAAGGCAATAATGTGAACTAACAGAGACTCAATAACGGCTTTTCCGTGGCAAAAATGGGAAGCAAATCTGAAAATAAACGGGGACAAAATGTCCTGGGAGCAGATATGGCGGGAGAGTGAAGGGAGAAATGAAGGAGAGAGTGAGAGGAGACAAGAGATGTTGATGTTCGGTGGGGTTAATCATTGAGCGTGTCGGAGGAAGAGGAGAGCCGTGTTGGAGTGACAGGTCTGCTGAGCTAAAACCCTCATCAGGCTTGCCGTCCTGCCCTGGAGACGTCAAAGCATCAGCTCCAGAAGGGGTGAAGAGAGACGCCCCACGAATGCTAACCGCTCAAGGCTGTCTTTGAAATGGCCGACATATAACCAAAGTTCAGCTTCTTTCCCCTGAGTTAATATCTATGATAATCACAAGGGCGAGAGCAGTGTGATCTCAAAGTCCCATCTTTCTCTGAGGAGATTTACTTCTGCTGCCATTTTTATTGTAACCATGCCGAGTATTACCTGTGTAAGCACATTAAAATGGCCTTTTTGTTGCTGCCTGTGCAACAAAATCCATGTAACAAACACTCTCATTTGTATAACGCTGCACTGAAATGCCATTTTTCTTGCTTAGCATTAAAGATCAACTTGATAGACTGAGTTGCTCTTGTTTGCTGACCAACCCATGCCCTCCAGTCTGCAAACATTAACAAATAATGTTAGCTGGTCAGCACTTATGTATGCAACCGTCCCTGTTTGACCCTTCAGAGATAAACAGCCTGCTCTGTGTTCACGACTGAAGAGAGACTCACATCACAGATCAGATAAGCTGCATGAAAAGTGCACAAATGAGCTCATTAGATCCTCTACACACCAATTTTTACTCAACGCTGGGTCACTTTGGGCTAAGTGTTCTTGCATCTGATCACCAGCGAAACTTTATATGTAAAAATATTTACAGCATTTGCACTTCTGGGTTGGTGAGCATCAGCGGTTCTGGGCTGAGAGCAAAGTAGTTGCATTGATCAGCTGCTATTCAGTAGATCGAATGCTCTTTGTAAAATAAGCAGCCGTCTGATCAGCTAATCACTGAGTGATGTCACCGAATTACAGAAGCTCTTTTTTAATATATAGCACAATGCAATGGTCTGAAACTTAATAAAAAAAAGCTTTTCCCGTGGTATGTTTTTAATTAGACCTACAGGTCAAATTAAGTGTAAAAAAAGATGACTACTGCGTTTTCTGTCTTAGCACAGAAAACCCATAAAACAGATAAGATTAATTATTTTCCACAAGTATAACAAGTGCACATGCTTGCTCATATACGGTTTTGACAGTTATGACAAATTAAATGTTTTTGCTTTTGCAGTGCTGTGTAAAAGTCTTGAGCCACATATCATTTCCTTATATTCTCCTTCTAGGGAGACAGTTTTTTAAAGTGGCCTTGAGCAGTAGTTCTTGAAACTTTCTGAAGGTTTTTCAAGGTTTTTCAGTCCATTGCTTGTACCTGAATGTTTTCACAGAAACGTTTTTTCTTTGAGGTGGAGGGTTAGGCCATGTTGACCTGTGAATCATTCAAGCATAAAAAGAGGCCTGTGTATTTTTAGGCACTTTGTTACCAGAAGCCTCTCCAAACATCATTTTTTTTCCTCTGTGAAAAATGCCTAAAAACATATGTTTGTACCAACAAGGTGATAACTAAAGAGCTATTAGCTAAAAACATGACAAACAGCAGATGAACAGAATCTGAAAGTCGTGTTCTTATGAAACAGGTTAATAAAACCTAGCAAGACCTGACATGGGACCACAGTAATGCATCTGGCCCTTCACTTGATCCATCCACTGCTCACTGAAGCCTCATCAGAATTGGTCTGAGTGGAAATGTGGCTAAGAACTGGGCTGAAAATCAGTGGCAAAGGGTGTTATGGAGTGATGAATCCAAATGTAAAATTTTGGTTGTAATCACCATTAATATGTACAACAAGTAATTGAGTGCCTACAGCCAATTGTAAAACTACTCAGTCATCCATGAAGACTATTTAAAGAAATAAGAAGAAAAGCTAAGAGCCTAAGAGCTCAGGCTGTACTGAAGAATAAAGCTGGCCACACTAAATATTAACTTTCAAGCTTGTTAGGTTGTTAACGAAGTGGTGTACATGTGAGAAGTGGAACGAAAATCATACATGACTCCAAACTTTTTTACAAATAAATAACTGCAAAGTGGGGTGTGCGTAATTATTCAGCCCCCTGAGTCAATACTTTGTAGAACCACCTTTTGCTGCAATTCCAGCTGCCAATCTTTTAGGGTATGTCTCTATCAGCTTTGCACATCTACAGACTGAAATCTTTGCCCATTCTTCTTTGCAAAACAGCTCCAGCTCAGTCAGATTAGATGGACAGCGTTTGTGAACAGCAGTTTTCAAATCTTGCCACGGATTCTCGATTGGATTTAGATCTGGACTTTGACTGGGCCATTCTAACACATGGATATGTTTTGTTTTAAACCATTCCATTGTTGCGCTGGCTTTATGTTTAGGGTCGTTGTCCTGCTGGAAGGGGAACCTCCGCCCCAGTCTCAAGTCTTTTGCAGACTCCAAGAGGTTTTCTTCCAAGATTGCCCTGTATTTGGCTCCATCCATCTTCCCATCAACTCTGACCATCTTCCCTGTCCCTGCTGAAGAGAAGCACCCCCAGAGCATGATGCTGCCACCACCATATTTGACAGTAGGGATGGTGTGTTCAGAGTGATGTGCAGTGTTAGTTTTCCGCCACACATAGCGTTTTGCATTTTGGCAAAAGTTCCATTTTGGTCTCATCTGACCAGAGCACCTTCTTCCACAGGTTTGCTGTGTCCCCCACATGGCTTGTGCCAAACTGGACTTCTTATCTCTGTATAAGGACTCTGTATCTCATTGTACAACTGTATAGTGACAATAAAGACATTCTATTCTATTCTATTCTATTCTGGTTTTCTGTTAACAATGGCTTTCTTCTTGCCACTCTTCCATAAAGGCCAACTTTGTGCAGTGCACGACTAATAGTTGTCCTATGGACAGATTCCCCCACCTGAGCTGTAGATCTCTGCAGCTCGTCCAGAGTCACCATGGGCCTCTTGGCTGCATTTCTGATCAGCGCTCTCCTTGTTCGGCCTGTGAGTTTAGGTGGACGGCCTTGTCTTGGTAGGTTTACAGTTGTGCCATACTCCTTCCATTTCTGAATGATCGCTTGAACAGTGCTCCGTGGGATGTTCAAGGTCTGGGAAATCTTTTTTGTAGCCTAAGCCTGCTTTAAATTTCTCAATAACTTTGTGCCTGACCAGTCTGGTGTGTTCTTTGGACTTCATGGTGTTGTTGCTCCCAGTAGTCTCTTAGACAACCTCTGAGGCGTCACAGAGCAGCTGTATTTGTACTGACATTAGATTACACACAGGTGCACTCTATTTAGTCATTAGCACTCATCAGGCAATGTTACAAAGGTTACTCTTTTTTCACCTCTGCGTTATTTGCTTCTAAACTGCTTTTCTTGAGAATCTATATAAAGAAATTATCATCGTGATTAAGGCTAGTGGAAAGTTTTCTAAATACAGTGCTCCACTTTTAAATCTGAAACATTCTTCCACAAACTTAAAGACGTCTAATTTAAATGTATTTACATGAATAAAAAGAGCATGATTGTAGTTTGCTTTCCTTTCACCACAGTTTCTCCAGCAATAATAATTTTAAATTCTATTATAATTAGAAGTAATTTCCAGGGTCAAAAAAGTATGTCACACTTATTATCCAAGCAAATGTCTGCCCACAGTGTGTTAGTGTGAGTTGTCTAACCGGTTTCAAATACAAGATGAGTCTATATACACTACAAAATTGATTTGCTGGCTTTAACTGCATATGAATGCTATAACAGCCTTTTATGCCTCATGGGAGAGAAAACAAGATATAGATGAATCCAATTACAGTCCTAGAGTGAGAGAATGCAGCTCATACCAATCGTGTTTGGACTGGAAAAACAGCTCACATGTATTTAAAATTCGTATGAAGTGTTTTGTATTCTCGCTTGGTAGAAATAATTTCAGAATACAAAAGGTACCCATTCAAATAGAGGGAACATGTTCTTGACAAACAATTTTCCATCCTGTGTTTCTCCAAAGTCAAACTGCCTGATAACTTTCAGCAGAAAAGCCTCAACTACTTCAGCGTGTCTCAAAGTACTTCAAAGCTTCTAGCTGAAGAAATGTGTTTCAGAACAGGTATGATATGAAAGTAACTCCAAGTTATGACTTTAAATATAGAAATTGAATCTCTTGCTTGTCTTTAACCTTTTGAAGCACAGAAGTGAGAGAGTGTGAGGTGGAAAATGTCAAGCCTGTGTAACCGACTCCATTGACATTCTCAGGAGACAAATTGGCGGATTTTACACTTCAAAACTGCCCGTCCTGCTCCATTTAATGCCAAAGGAGAGCTCTGCAGCACTCGCTCAAATGTGGATGTGGGACACACCAGTAGGGGGCACACTTACTTTGTTGCAGTCCATGCCTTGTGCCAGGCTGAGGCTTAGCACGTGTGGGGTAAGAGGGAATCAGTATTAAATGCGAGAAGCAGGGGTCTGTGTGAGTTTGATGTAGGAGGAAAAAGAAGAGAAGTGAAGAAAAGAGACAGAAGGAGATGAAGACAGCTCTCCTGTACAGTGAAACTGCATCTGACCTGACCATCGCTCACTTTCAGCTGAATGGTAGCAATCAAACTTGCACTTACAGTAATCTGTGGTGGGGAAGATCATCGGTGGGCTCCTAATGGAAGGGGGCGGAGTCCTGATAGTTGGTCTAAACGGCAGCCCGGGTGTGGTTACCACCGGTGGAAACTCGCCATTGGCTGAAATAGAACACAATGGATTTATTGAGAAGGCTCTGTGTTGTCACACTTCATCTGCAGCAATAAAAAATAAATAAAAATCCTGTTGCTCTTATACTGAAGAAAAGTAAAAAAGAAAAAAGAAAAAAAAGGCACAGTAACTGCAAACCTCTTGCTGGCACAGAAATGCAGACCCACCAGCAGGGGTCATTCTTTCATTTGTACCACCATTGGCCATACAGGAGGAGACGAATGCATAACAAGCGAGCCCCACTCCATCTCTGCCTGCCTCTGTCCTACTGTAGATGGGTAAGCACATTCAGTCTGGGTATTATGTAGCAATCCATCAAGCCTCTGGCCTCACTGCATTCCCAGGACTGAGATCATAAACCTGTTGGTACCTTGATCTCTTCTGCCTCAAATTCAAACCCAGAATTAAGTCTTGAAGGCAAAACTCCCACAGATAAGGGCTCGAGACAGAGAGCAGGGACTGTTTTTTCTCCCAAAGATGTTAAAGTAAGGTAGAATTTTAACTACTAAAATGATTGGATGTTAACCTTAAAAAAAAGCATGTACCCCCGTCCCCATTCTCGGGTTTTCAATAGAGGTGGAGCTCCTATTGTTGTTTGACTGAATCCATGTTTTCTGATTAGGTCCATTCACTGCAATCAGTGGTACAAAAGACTGGTGTTAAAGAAATCTGTGTAGGCACCAAGAACAATCGATGTAATGCTGTCAACCGAACGTAACGCAATTCATTTACGTAATGAGAAGTTCCTGGAATGATTAAAACAAATAATGTCCAACAACATCCTGCAGGACAATGCAGTGAAATCTAAAATTCAAATAGTCATTACAGAAGAGACTGCAGAGCATGCACTGGCACGAGCAAAGGTTTCACTTTATTTCAAAAGCCAGCTACGTTTCAGCTCGTACATTTGTGGCTTGAGCTCCTTTTCCAAGGAGAGGCCATGCTTCTGTTGGAGAGTTCTGCCCAGCATCTCATTTCTTTGATATACCGTTGTGCAGAATAAAACCCTCAGAGGTTTGTTACTACATGACCCCTGTGGTTTGATGTGAATGCACAGGACTCTTGTACAACTGCGATTATTTTCCAAAAATGTCAGATAAGCTTTGCTGAGATCTGTTGCTCCGATAATGCTGCTGTCACGCAACTGTACGACAACAAATAAGGGGGCGGGTTCAGATCTCGACAGCCTGCTGTTGTGCTAGCCCTGCTTCGGATATGTCACTTTACAGCAAAGGTGCACACATGCCACACAGAGACGTCAGGCTTCCCACTCGGCTTTAAAACAAAAGAAACTGTTGCAGTTTGAGCTACACAGCCAAACACTGGCAGGTTTATTTTAACACTTTCAATGTGCTCAGTGTAGATACTTGAAGCATGCAAACAATAAATCATAAATGATGCTCTTCTGTGCATATGACCTGCATATGAAGTTCTATTTTTGGTTTGCATATCGAACAGAGAGGATGATTACATGGTTACAGGGTCTATTTGCATTTCATACAGCGAGAGAAAAGAGAAGGTTTGTAGCTGCAGACTGGCCTGTCTTGCTCACCAGCAGAATGGCACACAGTTTGTTTGTACTGTAGCTGCCTGATAGTCTCTATAGGGCTGCCCTGAATGGCAAACAGCAGCAAAGGATGATTTAGAGGTTCATGAGAATTTCTCTCTCCATCTTTGCTTTTCTGAGCCACGAGTAGTACTGGAGTAAAAGCCTGCAGCTCCATATAACACTGGAAACCCACCAATGAGTCAGTGCTGTTTTCAAGATGCTGGAAAAGATGTGAATAAGAAGCTCAAATCCAACTACAACTTCACTAATTGTGACGAGCCAATAAGCTCCCCACATCGTGTCGTTCGCCTCCACGGTGAAAACAAATCAGGCCTGCTCTCTTCGTTGTCATTATGTCAGTGTCGGGGGACAAAAACAACACTTTTCATCTTTATCTCTGTAATCATTTTACCACAACAACATTCCCTCTTCTCCTCTCTGGCTCCCCTGTCACTTCAGGCTGAAGGCTCACCATTTATGACAATATGGCAGGGGACTCCCTCAACAGCTGAAAGGTTTAGAAAGCTACTATGTGCCAGAGTTGCATCTGGTCAGGAAAAAAACCTGCTCGCTTTAACTCAGAGCAAACATCTTGACCTAAATGTTCTGTACACTTGAGCTGCAGCTTCACCTGAGTTCCTCTGGGTAATATGTATTATTAAAAGTTGGGCTTTAAATATACACCAAAGCTCTGTACTGAATCAGATGGCTTTGGTCTTGACTGAAAATGCCTCGCGGTAAAAGAATCTTGTAATTTTTGTCTTCAAAGCTTAAAAACCCTCAACACTGCTTTCTTAAAATCAGCCAGCATAAAAATCAATAGCTCATTCCCTAGCCCTGTAATCCTCAAATTAATATGACTGTCCAATTCTTCGCTGCTTGGGAGCTTTGATACGGATAGAGTTTATGTGCAGATTTGATGGATCACAGCAAGCAAGTCACTGCAATGTGTTTGATTGTGAGGGTAAGAAAAAGAAAACCTACACACCAGTGAAAGATTCTTAGAAGTGTTGCGGCACACGAGCTCAGGAACTTCTTATATTTTCAACAAAGTTGCTAATAAAGCTCACAGCATTGTTATTCTCAGCATGGTAACATGCCGCTGCAGAACTAAGGAACACACGGAGCTGCTGCACACAGCATTGGTATGCCGCTGGAGCAAGAGAAAGACTCAGCAGGTCCACCACGGAGCAGCATGAACCACAGGGCAAGGCAACAGCCAGCGTGGCTGTCACTGTTCATTAGCAGGGTGCCGTAAGCTACCTGAAGCTCACCAGAGGCCAGCCACAGAGAGAGGGTGGGGGGGGTTCACCTTGTTACCTCCCAAGCACAAGCTCAAAATATCTCCAGATTGTGATAGCTCTCAGAAGTATCCACACAGACTGATCATGTTGACAGTCAGTTTCTAACGATACGGAGACTAAATCTCCTACACGTTGTCTCAAATGCTGCCCAAAAATACAACATTTTTTCCATTTATTTCTCTGTTTACTTGTGCATGCCATATCTAAACCTTTGCTGTGAATGTTGATTGATCCGCTGCTGCAAAAATAAGAGAATAAAGCTGCTGATAAACCCGGACCTGGCCACACATGGAATGAATAAACAACACATTCTCATCTGAACGTGTCAAATAGTGCCCTTCTGTTATGATTTTCTGCTGCCACAGAGATACGACAAGCACCGGTAATCCGTGTTTGGAAGGTGGAGTGAGTCACAAGCTATCTGCCAAAAGATTGAAGTTCATGTCCTGTAGCAGAGCTTTATTTTTTTTATTATTCCACTGCTTCCTTATTTGCTTCTTACTTTCACTCTCACTTTCTGGTAAGGTTTAGGGTTAGTAGATTAAGGAAAAGATCAGGATTTGGGGTACTGTCACAACACGACTTCAAGTAAGCCTCCATATGTAAAAGTTGGAAGTGAGATCTACACCACTGATTAAATATGGCATATTTGATGTCTAGGGAATGAAAAAGGATTTCAACTGGCACCACATGCCGTCGCTCTGAATGCATCGGGAGACTGTAGAACGTTAGCACTTGCTGGTACATGCTGTGTCATGTTTATTAACACAGACATGTGCAAGTGATAATTGCTAAAATGAACAAATTTCTGTAGTCCCTTGATACCCAAGTTACATGACAGCTACAGCCAATAAAGACATCACTACAAAACTGGTGATTCAGCTTTCAGAACAACAATTTAACTTCATCTTTTGCAGAGGTAAACGTTTGGAGAAGTGCTATTATGACTATTCAGCGAAGTCAAGGACCGGGTACTGAGGAGGCACACTCTAATGTTTGGGGATCTCTATAGAAGCAGCTGCTTCCTCCTGTTAATGCATCTGAGTGCGTGGGAAAAGAAATTATGGCACATGCCAGAGAGAAAAGGATGAACTTCCTGCGCTGTCTAACCCAATAAACTAATTTATTGATTCTGCTGAGGATAAAATGATAAAAATGACAGTCTGGTCCAACACCTGAAGGGCAATGGATGCATCATCAAGCGCACATGCTTGCCAAACTATACATCACACAAAAGCCTGTAGAAATGTAGGAAAGAGGCCACGGGTGGCTGATCCTCTGCATAATGTGTTCGCACTATGTTTTCTCACCGAAACACATTACAAGGCTGAGCCTTCCCGTTCAGGAATCCATCATGCTAATCAGTCACTGGGATCACTCCTGGAAATCACATCTTTTGCTGAGCTTCAGCATCTCCCATCAACCAGCCTGATTGATAGGCGATAAAAAGTGACTGTGTCAAGTATAGCAGTAGGTAATAGATACTGGGTCCAGATTAAGAACTTGCCATCTGAGAAGTGAGTGCAACAGGAATGAGTGATCCTTCAGCACTGCCACACCAATGCCTCTGCTCTGGAGGACATAACACGCAAATTGTTGTGCAAATATCTGCTGGAAAACGTAATCTCTTTAAATAAAGAGTCCATGATCCAGAAAGCCTGTACGGCACAGGGTGAAGGTGACAAAAGCTCCAGCCTGGATCAACAACAATTTCTCAATTATATACACCAGATAAAGCTACGCTATCTGAATATATTTCAGAGTAACGGCAGTAGTGTTGAGATTATATCTCAATTTGATGAAAAAATTAATCATCTAACGGTGATACAGCACAGAGTCTGTGTGCCATTCACATTTATTTTTTCTTTTACATTTGGATGAAAAGTGCTCCTTAAATAACATGCTTCGGTAGCTCACGCAATAACTGAATAATTTTCAACATTTTATCTTTCATTGCGTTGTTGTAATTGTATCAAAGTCATAACACTTTTGCATTACTCGTTAATTTCATTTTTGTTTCCAATTCAGTTTAGTTTACAGAGTGGGTTTGCTTGTTTCATTTTGTTATTTTATTATTGTTGAATCAAGAACATTATTAGTTCAGGTGTGATCCCAGAACATCAGCTGTTCTCAAAACCTGATCGTCTGATACTGTTCTATTAACGGGGTATAAAGAGAAGGCTGTTTAAGTTTCTTTAGCCTGCTCTACCCTGCAAGCCGCTATGCAACCCACCTCCACTACAATTCCTCCTTTTAGGCTGTTTCACTAGATCAGTGTCATATCTGTTGTCCCTGATGCCTGCGCACTTCAGTGTTGCCTCCAGCTTTCCAGCCGTGCACGGAAGATCCCAGAGGCGAGCCATGCTGCCAAATATAAATTACTGCAGATGCTAACATCAATCTCTTGTTGACTTCAGTGGTCCTGAACTAAATGTTTTTTTTCCCCACACCTAGTTTTTGACTTTTCAGTGGCTATAGCAATCATGTGTGATGCCACAAAAAGCTTTAAATTGGCCAGTGTTATAATCCACCAACTATCACGAGATATCAAATTAAACTCAGGGAAAACAAACAACTGTCTGCCTGTGGGTACCACTCATGCCCTTGTCATTTTTGTTGTTGTTTTTTTGCCCAGGGTGAAGGCACTGTTATATTTAAATAAAGTTCACATCGTCAGAGCTATATTCAGGCAAAGGATGCTCTCACACATTACTATTCAAGTCACAGTTCAAACTGGTTCCTTCTGATAGGCACAGATGGAAGGAGGCACTGAACTCCTAACCTTTCATTCTCATTCTTACATGGTTGTCATCTCACTCGTGTTTTTATACTGATAAACCATCTCAATTATGACACAAAAATATCTGGAAAGGTGACGGAAAGCTTGACCTTTATAAGCGAGCAGTGTGACATTGGAACATAAGCCCTCATGAATCAGCAAGCACCAGTTCTGACATTTCAAGACACGTACGAGGTTCTCAAAGAAAGTGATTTAAGGAATTTACTATTACATATAATTTCCATAGAGATCTGTCAGTCTGTCTAAAGGGAAAGCAGCAGTACATTTAACGGAGAGAGCAACAGAGCAGGAGTCTTTACTGAGAAGTCCAAAATAGGTCTCACGAAAAGTCTTATGCAAGCATATAGCGTGCCATATTATGGGTAGGAATGAATAAATAATGAAAAAGTAAATCCTTGATGAATTCTTCCAAAGGTTTAAATTGATGCTCACTTAAATCTCCTGTCTGTGAAACATGAACATGAGGCTGACCTGTATTGATTATTAATTGAATTGCCTTGGGTAACTTCAACTGTTTACTTAAGTTTCGCTGAAGTAGAAATTCTTTTTTAACTTTTTATCCTCCCCAGTGTTTCCTCTTTGTACATGTCATGGCCAATCAATCAAGCAATCAGTCAAACAATTTCTATAATCCAGCCACAGCCTGATACGTAATTACGAAAAAAGGAAGGAGTAATGCTTTTTAAAAACACTCACATGCCAAGAAGCAGTCCATGCTGAAAGAGACGTTGTCCACAGAAATGGCAGAACCGGGTCCAGGTCCATTTTCAGCGCTGAAATAGAGAAAGAACCTGTGGAGAGGCAGAGGAGTTTTAACATCTCACAACCTGTGAATAGTGAGACAGCTTCTGTCTGAAACAATGAGAGAGATAATTTATTGTGCTTTAAGAAAACTCCCACTGAGAATTGGCCTTTGAGAGTGTGCATTGTGTGTCACAAGGTTTGCTATTTAACAGACGAAAAAAAAGGGCAGTTTGACTTTTACAAAGATTAAACTCATTGACATGGTTATAGTTAAACATATATAAGAGAAGCGCTTTAATCGCAAACCTTCAAAGTGACACTTTTTCAAGGCTTTTGTTTTTCCAGATGTTAGGAGAAAAAACTGATCTCACATCTGTATGGTAAAGAGAAGACGTTGGATCAAAGCCTGTATGTAAGCACCATGATGTCACCCACTGACTTGGAAACTGTTGTTTATTGGAGTCAGAATCTACCATATTTTGATGAAATGATGGAGCGCTAATGTATGAGCTAAACTGAGCAAGCTTGAACCTCAGACCCTCTTATTATCCCAACAGATCACTTTGCTTTCAGACCGAAGAGTTACTTATACTTCCAAGAGTTTTCAAAAGTAGAATGGGACGCTGAGTCTTCAGTCCGTAGGCCCTCTACTACAAAACCAGCTCCCAGTTTAGATTTTGAAGACAGACACTGACTCTACTTTAAAGTTAGGATTAAAACTTACAATTTATAATTACGCCTGGATCAGGTGACCTTGAGTCACTCCTTAGTTGTGATACAACAGGCCTAGGCTGTTGCTGAGCTTCCCATGATGCACTGAGTGATTCTTCTTTGCTCATCTCTTTTCACTCCCTGTGTTTATACAAACACTTCTGCATTAATCATTACCAGTTATTGCATTCTAACTCTGTCTCTCCTTTAATTTGCCCGTTGTCTTGTTTCTCTCTGTCATCTCTCTTTTCTCTCATCTCCAGCCAGTCACAGGAGATGGCTGTCCCTCCCTGAGTGTGGTTCTGCTGAAGGTTTCTTGCTGTTAAATGGGAGGTTTTCCTTTTTACTGGCACCCGGAGTGCTCACTCATACAGGGTTTTGTGGCACATGCACAGACTGTATGGCTACATTTTAGAATTATCAGTTATCTATTCATTTATTTTTGTAACAGATAACTCAGAATAGTGCTAACTAACACCCATCCTCTCAACCTCTTATCAAATTTAGGGTCAAGGCGGCCAATTTATGATCATTTATGAACCTAAGATTCATATTGGACTGTTGTGAATAAGCTTGAGTCCCTGGAGAAAACCCACATGAAACCCACAGAACCCACAGAAAACCCATCCATATGTAAAGCCCACTTTGATCTTATATTGGCCAGACCAGTAAAACTCCCCTTCTGTTGGTGTAAAGAAGTTTATATACACACAAGAAAAAGAAGGGCAATTTCAACAGCATTTCTCAGTTTTTCAACATGATAAAGGAATGCTCGTTTACTAAATGAAAGAAATCTGTCAGCAAAACTCTCTGGACTTAAATAATAAGAGATCAATGTGTGTTTTGCAGAATGTCCTTTAATCATAAAACAGAACATTTTTGTTCTCTCGCAGAAAGATCCCTTTAAAATATAAATTTCTATAGTACAGTAAAAAACTGGAACTTATCTGTAATTTAATTGCTATGTTACCTAATTACTTTGGTGTAGTTTGAATGGCAATGGGAGAAGTCTTTTTCAGTAGAAAAAGCAATTAAACTTTTAAAAATACACTTAGAAGTCCAAAATTGGTGCCCTAACTCACATTTTCCAGTGGGCAAAATTGGAGTCTGCATCAGGCCAATTCTGGACCTCTGGCCTTATGTTTGATACCCCTGGTTTATAAGTTAAATATCAAATCGAGAAAATATTGACAGGGAACTAAGAGCCATTTCATAACATGTTTATCTGCGAGTATTAAAGAAGGTTTGATGGTGGATTTTGACCCCAGATCTACTGTTTCCTTCCTGAGTCTTCATGCCAAGTCAAACTAACCATATCCTGGCTCTGAGCAGAGCAATATCATTCCTGTGATCTAACTCTGCTGGAATATAGTGAATAAGTGCATTTGCTGATTGGTGCAGCAATGGCAGTTGCATAACCTGTAATAGGTAAGACTTCTATAAATCAAGAAACAGTCACCGCTTGGTCCCGTTCAGTCAGCTGAGGTTTGTGTCACTGTGATTTATTTGGGGTTTTGTTCAGTACATTACACCATGCCAGCCCACATGTTCTGCATGTTCTTTACTTTCTGCTATACCCTGACTTCTGCCTGCACTTTAAGCTGTGTTTCTGATTCTATTTAAGCTCTACAAAGGTCAATGTGCAAAGTCTGGCAGGTTCACCTCGTGGTTACGGACATGACATTCTAATTAAGAGCACAAGCACAGCTGACTACATAACCCAGGAATCAAAAATTAATCACTCACAGGGGAGCAGGATTATCCAAGCTTGAATGGCAAAGAAACCCCCAGTCAGGCAAACAGAGATGAAATACCGTATCTGGAGTTTTTTGCGTGTGTGATTTTTTTCTTACTTTTTTCTATTTTTTTTTTATTTCTCTCTTCAGTGAGGGGAAATCAGGGCCGTAGCTAATTGGAAGGCATAGCGAGCGGAGAGAGCCTTGTGTATTGATTTATCTTTTTTTCATCACAGACAAGTGGAATAAAGAGTGGATATTTTGTACAAGCGTACACATGGCAGGTCCATTGTATAAGACTGGGGTCCCTATGGGATTCATTAGTTATATGAAACTGAGAGGAAATGTTCCCAGAAAATGGAATGAAAATGCTGAAAATCTGCATTTATAAGGAAGAACTTCTCTATCATGTTTCTTAAGACTTCTTTTGCTGCGGGAGCGCTTTAGTATTTGTGTGAGCATGTCAGAGGTTTGTTGGGATCAGAGTCGGATGACTGACGATGACTGCTCTTAAACACTTCAAAGTGGAACTGTCAGTTTGATGCCTTCAGACAGTCCAAACACGTTGCCTCGATATAATCACAGCTGCCTGACATGCGGTGAAACAGGCAAGCACTTGTCATACCAGTCTGCCAGCCCGTAAAGGGGAAGTGCGACGAGTTTCCAGCCTCTTTCAGATTTGGATTCGGTGGCTGAATGCCAGAGTTGGCGCGGCTTGTCGGGGCCTGTGCTGTTCTCCACGATCCACAGAGACAGCGCCCCCTTCTGGAAGTTCGCGAAGCACAGCCAGAATCGCACCTGTGAAAGTAGAATGAGATTTGAAATGATCACTGTGCACTACAGGTTAAAACAGAGCTGCACTGATGATTTCTGAGACATATAGCGAGTGTTAGTATAAATATAACTATAAATACACCAGCAACTTTAATGTCCTTTGAGCATTTTAGAATTGAAGGAAACCAGCCAAATGTGTTATCAGTCAAGGGGGAATGCATTTAAAATTGCACTGAGATTAATCAGTAACAGCCATCTGTTCACTTCTAATTATTCTAAGATTAATAGAATTCAATCAGGATTATAATTTGAGTTATTTTGCAGCCTGCATGCTTCATCACATATCAGCCGAACATTGTCTTTTCCAGGAGGGATATGCTGGGTCTAAACCTGCTGAAAATTAAACAACACACAGGCTGTCACGAGAATTGAACAGCAAAAGCAAGTCTCAGGATGTGACCACGTCCCTCTCCAGCGTTTCTTGAAGCCAAGAACATAATTCTTGTTTCACCATTTAAGTGGAACAGATGCTGGCTTAAGCCTGATGACTAAATTCAACACTTTTAGGATGAATGCTTGCATTGTGCCAGTGGATGGCAGGTTTTGGTTCTTATTAACTGAGAGACCACATGGTGAACATTTAAACATCAAGATTACAGGCGCCGCACCGTGCAAACTGGGAATAACATGAAAGTGAAAGCGGCCTGTAGCTAATACCCAAAGCTAATATCCTCAACAAAGTTGTCCAAGAGCGGACAGGCCAGGCTGAACAGCACCGGTTCAGTGTAGAGAGACGGATTTAGAGCGTTAATCTGGAATCATTGCTAATCTTTGGCTGCGCGCCAAGAAGCTGTGAGCAGCGGCGCATTACGGCCTGCATTGCTCTCCACAAACCTAAGACACCTCTGATGTGCACCTTAAGAAGCAGCAACATCACTTTTGTTGTTTTGTTTTTCTTGTTTTCCTTCCCGTCTTTTTTTCTCCTCCATCGAGTTTTTCTCTGTGTTTTTCTTCTAAAGTTGCGCTAACTTCTTCTCTTGTTTTACGACCTTTTTGACTTTTTAATCAGCTCAGCATATCCAACTTAACTTCTTCCATGTGCACAAAAGGTCAAAGGTCGCTGTGCTGAGAAATATTAATATCTGACTAATCAAAGATGCAGCAGCATCAATCAAGATGTCAAGTACAGAAGGGTTTTTTTTTACCTGGAGACCTGCTCTGTGCATATCACGATCTTAATAATGCATCACTTGCGATATGTGTGAACCTGTGACTGACGAGGTCAGCCTCACTGTCTCTCAGGGTCTCACAGGAAATACAGGTGGCTCAGTGCTAACCAGCTGTCGTGGCTGGTTACTGCTTGATTTCTAAAGATGTTACTGGGATCATATTCAAGACATAAAGTAAGTCAAGGTTATATGCTGATTCAAAAACATAAAAATGCTATTTAAGTTGTGTGTATGTATCCATGACCGCTTATGTTAATGAGAGTGTGGGGAGTGAATTGGAGGGCGGGATGGGGTGGGGTGGGTTGCTTTTAACCATGTAAAGCACTTTGTGCTACATTTTTGTAAGAAAAGTGCTTTATAAATAAAGATTGATTGATTGATTGAACTCATCTTACATTTTCAAAGTAAAAACAGCCTTACATTGTGTAATATGTATTAGCTGGAATTAGCTGCCTAACAAATCCATAACAAGTGTACTGACCTGCTAAAACTTAAACTGCAAACATTAGCATATCTGCCGTGTATCATGCTTAAAGATAAAGTGTATATCATCAGGTAAGTATTGCATCATGGAGAGTTAAAGAGCTAACAATGACAGCATTCTTGTTCTCTTTTAAAAAAAAATTATCTTGGGGTTAAAATTCAGCTTTGCACTATTTCAAGCTGCTTTTAAAACAAATCAGGTGGACACACTCCAACCAAGTCCCGGGCTTTTACCTGCTGATAAAGTCTAGGGGCAGCTTTCCTTTCAGCTGAGATATGGATGATTATCAACTAGAAACAAAGCCACATTTTTTTAAAGAATCACAGCAGTTGTTGGTAGTTTGTAACATTTGCCCTTGGTTTGTTCTGAATGTGAGACTGGAAAGACAGACCGAGTGAGCAGTATGTGGAGGAACTCACGGTGCACGGAGAGTTTCTTAAAGGAGGAGGAAAGAGAGGACTCCTCAGTAATGCTGAGCCACGCTGACCTTTAGACTGGCCTCCCTCCACAGTGAATGTAGCACCTTTAACACACACACACACATCCATAACAAAGATAAGTGTCAGAAATGTAAAATCTTTATTTATTTATTTATTTATTTATTTGCCATTTGTCTGCCAGCGAGGTTACTCAAAACCTACCTGGGTGAATTCAATAAAAAAATAATGGAGAAGAGGAACAAAGGAAAAGCTCATAAAACTTTAGGCATTTTCTGGATCACGTTGTTTGTTAGTGCAGGGCAGAGCACTGGCTATACTTGAGATCATTTTAAAGCTCTAAGGGTGGGGATCACAGAGTATTACTTGATAGAATACTGTCATGAAACGTCAACCACAATACTCATGGTATAACAGTACATGTATTGCTAATATTATAACAAAAGGAAGATTGGAATACTGATATTTTGTCTTACAGTATCTTAGTGAAAATTTAGAAAGGTGACAATAATAATCTAGTGACAGTTTTGATGGGTTTCCCCTGAATTTTCTCTATTCTGAACTATAACTGATTAAACTAAAGGCTTTAAACTCTCACCCCAAAGGTTACGATCAGTGTAAAATTACAGTGCTCCATTTATAGTTCCCCCCACACTCTACTGAGAGATCTGCAAATAGTTGAGAACAAAAACAAGCCACAGCAAAGCAAGACTTTAAAATTGCATCATGAGACCCACTTGAGTCACTGCACTGATGATTAACTGGAGTCACAAGAGTCTACATGCTTGAGCTATATCGAGATGGGCTGTGTTTTCCTTCCACGCTCACAAATTCAAGACTCAAATATTCAAAATTAAGATCAAGTGAAAAAAAAAAAGCCCCGATAACTCGTTTGAAGTCAGTTTCAATGAGGTCACACTGCTCAAACTTAAAAGAGCCTGCAAACGAGTCATCTCACAGTTGGATCGGAGCTGTGTTCGTGATGTGATAAAAGGCGTGTCTGAGCTACCTGATGATGGGCAGGTCTGTCTGGTTGCCTTGACTGGTGACTGGAGTCTTTTCCAGGAGAGACCGCGGCCTGTTATTGACTGCCAGCTACACTCGCCCTCTTCAAAAGAGCAGTAGCTGCCATTGAGAAAACGGCCTGGAGAGAGACAGGAAAGAATATATCAGGGGAGGAGAGGCAAAGAAGATAAGAAAAGAGGGGGGCACATAATGACTGGACAGGGCCAGCAGCAGGGTGAAAGAAGAAAGTGAAGTGAACACTGCCAGCCAAATTTTCAAGGAGAAAAAGGACAGGGCTAGGGTGGAGGCTGGCGATCAAGGAGATGAGCGACAGTGAAGGCAGGAAGGTTGAGAGGAGAGAAGCACAAGAGGTGCAGACTAATGGCTCACAGGACTTGATGTGTTGGAGGAAATTAAGACTGAGCTGTGGTGAAGGTGGGCTCTCAGACAGACACTAGAAACAGAAGCAGAAAATGGAAGAGCCCTGATGTGTCTAGAGGGGGAGACGGGAAAGAGTCTGAGGCGAAATGAGAAAGCTGAGATGGTGACATTTCTTTTGGGATGCCAATCAGTTAGAAATTTCGTAGAATGGCACGAGCAAAGTGAGTCTGCACATCAATAATACAGTGAAAACGTTGGAATTATTGGATTGTGTAGTGGGTACAACACAAGCCAAGAGAGGAGTGTGTCTCCTTGTTACAGTTTCATAACCAGAGCTCACAATACAGGTGCTTACCAATTACCCTTCTCTGACTGAAACATTTGTGCATACATGAAAGATAACAACTCAATTTACGATGCTATGCTGTGACATATGCTATAATAAATTCCATAATAAGTTAGTAATTTTAATAAAAAATTAATATTTAAGTAAGGCTGACACACCAGTAAGATGTTTACTGAATAAAATGTGTCAAACCCCGAGACGGCCATTATGTAGTCCTGATTAACATAAATGACTGGGAGGCAACAATGTTTGGAGAAATAAATGAACTCTACTACACTGTCCTCAATTTGCATCTCCTGGGTCTTGGTGTTTCTCAAGTCATAGCTCACACTTGTTCGAGTGAGGCCAGACATTATTAGAGTTGGCATTTATCCGGTGCTGTGCAAATTTAAAGTTTGTACAAGTACAAGCTACAAATGTGATGGTTACCCCACACAGAGAACATCATAACGTCAAGTGACTCGATTAATCTCCCCAAACATCGGTATTATTTAATCAGTATGGATTTTTTTCTCCCTCTCAGTTAATTTTAATTGAACCACGCACTCTATTATACAGATATTTCTGAAGCAAGTTTCCATGGGATTATTTACTTCTCTAAAACTTCCTCAGGCCAGTAAAATGTTTTGAGAAAAATGGTTAATTCTACAATTTTCCATGGTTTTCACTGGCACACGAATCCTTCATAACAAATAAGTGCAAAACTGTTGAGTTCCAAAAGCCATTTCTCCTCTTCTGCTAAAACTGACAGAATAAATTAGAAACAATTTTTGGTAGAGCAAGTATTTCAACACCTAGCGTTCTATCAAAGGCACATTTTTTAAATTCAATCTTTCATTATCAGGACAATTTTCTTCATCCTGTGCTTCTTTACAGAAAACAGATTTAAAAAATAATAAAGTCAGTGAATCGCTGCAAATGCACCGTAATGACAAGAGTCAATCATACATGCTGTTATAACTTGGCCTTTTTGAGATTCTTAACCTGAAAAGTTTTACTTCGTGGCTAAACAAGGATTTTTTAAAAAAGCTACACCGTTGGCTTTCAGACTGCATTAACTTACATCAATAAAACAAGCATACTCTGTCAATTTCACCCTTTCTACTTTAACGTTGGGCCGGCAGAAAACTGATTTGACTCTGGCACGTCAGTCTTTCACGAAATCACTCACTTCTCTCGGGTGCAACAAAATGCTCCCGGCTTAATAGACGAATCGCTCGCTGAGTCAGTTCACACCATCAAATGGTGCTAAGCCCAAACAAGTCAAACTGAAGTTAGCACCGTCCTCCAAGAAGGACAATGAGATGTCCTTAGATACTTAAAGCACTGCTGAATTTTTAAACAACTTTAGCTCAAAGTTTCAAAGTTTCCTCTATAAGTTTGCTTTATGTTCCTTTCATCCCGAGTTCCTGTCTGCGAGCGCCTATTACCTGTAACAGACTGAGTGATGTGGTACCGCTATGCTTTTGGAAATAACCTCATCCAGATAATGGGAAGGAAAACTGGCTTGAGGAGAGATCATACAGCATGTATTTTTTAGGAAGCAAAACAAGGAGAAAAAATGTCTTTCTTCAAAAACATCAGCTCTGAAATGCTTTTTGTTATTGTAGAAAACACCAAAAGAGCAGTTTTACTTTTAAACACTAACAGCAACAGCAAATTCATGGGGATATTTCCTGTGATGTTTCTGAAGTAAACAAAAAGCTTCTCTGGACTTTGTGGGTAATAAGTATATTTCATGTTCTTGCCTGTCTTCTGATGAGTCAGTCCTTGTTACATAAACGCCTTAGACAGAAAGTCTGTTTATACAAAGGGAAGAGATTTAAACTCATATCATGCTTGCACAGAGGAATCTGTGATGATTTAATCTTTATCAATGTCATTCACTTTATAATGTCACTTTCATTCGAATGTCAACACGACTTCAGTGCTGTCTGTCATGGCAATTTGACAAGAAGACAGTTTATAACAATCTGCACGGATGTTTTTTGGGACACTTGTCAGGTTTTTTTTTTGTAGTATAGCAACAAAAGCAAGTGGAGTGCTTTTAAAGCAGCTAATCACTACAGACACATCGCCATGCGAAGGAATTTTGACCTGGTTGGTGCTAAAAATGCCGCACAAAAAGAAGCACAAATAAAATCTTCCTGTGTCCTTCAGTATGTGAAGCAAAGATGTCTGTGAGTACGAGCAGCGAGAATTTCATCTTATTCCTCTGAGGTGAAACTAAAACTTGATTACTTGACTTCTGCCCATTACACGGAGCCTCTGCATATGCCCGTGAGCAAATTATGAAGGTAACCCGTTGCTCCTTATCTGACTTTGTGGGCTTCATCGAATTATTACAGGCTACAACATTTTGATTTAATGTCCATCAATGAAACCTCAACTACTGTTAACCAAGTATTTAGGGTTAAGCCTATCTATCTATCTATCTATCTATCTATCTATCTATCTATCTATCTATCTATCTATCTATCTATCTATCTATCTATCTAT